TGCTCACCCCTAAGTACAGGAAGAGGGTTTCGCCGGCTTTGGGCTTGGAGAGTATGGGTGGGGACGACAGGTACCTCTTCAATTCGTCGAATGCTTCCTGGCACTCCGTCGTCCACCTGAAGCTGGTTGCCTTGCGCATGATCTGGAAGAAGGGGAGTGCCCTCTCAGCTGACCTGGAGAGGAAACGGTTCAAGGCCGCCAGGCGCCCCGTCAGTCGCTGTACCTCCTTGACGTTGCGGGGCGGCTCCATGTTGATGATGGCCTGCGTCTTTTCCGGGTTTATCTCGATGCCTCTCCGGCTGACCATGTAGCCGAGGAACTTGCCACCCTGGACGCCGAAGGCGCATTTCTTGGGGTTGAGGCGGAGCCTGAACTCCTTCATTATCTCAAAGATTTCCCGGAGGTCGTCGGCGTGGGAGGTGGCCTGCCTGCTCTTGACGATCATGTCGTCGACGTACGCCTCCATCGTCCGGCCAAGGACCGCCCTGAAGATCTTGGCCACCATCCTAGTGTAGGTGGCGCCGGAGTTTTTGAGTCCGAAGGCCATGACGAGGTAGCAAAAGATTCCCTCTGGGGTCATGAATGCCGTCTTCTCGGCGTCCTCTTCATGCATGGAGATCTGGTGGTACCCTCTGAAAGCGTCGAGGAACGACATCAACTCGCACCCCGCCGTCTCGTCCACCAGCTGATCAATGTTGGGGAGAGGGAACGGGTCCATGGGGCACGCCTTGTTCAGGTCAGTGTAGTCAACACACATTCTGAACGTCGGCGGCTTCTGTGCGAGGACGACGTTGGCCAACCATGTTGGGTACTTCACCTCTTTGATATGTTTGATCGATAGGAGCATGGCGACCTCCCCTTTGACGAAGTCCCGCCTGTCAGCGGACAAGTAGCGCCGCTTCTGTTTGACGGGTGCGGAGGCCGGATCGACGGTCAGCCGGTGAGTGATCACCTGGCGGCTGATGCCGGGCATATCGTCCGGGCCCCACGCGAAGACGACGGCGTAGGACCGTAGGATGAGGAGGATGGCGTCTCGTTGGTCCTGGGGGAGTTGCTTTCCGACCCTGAGAACCCGCCCCGGCCGGGAGGTATCCAGGGGGATTTCCTCGACCTCCTCGGCCGGCTCCGCGTGTGGCCTCTCTTCGTCCATGGCGACGGCGGCCGTGATGGTGTCTATCCGCTGTCCTTCCCTTTCGGCCGGCCTCGTCAGCTTGAGGTAGCAAGCCCTGGCTATCCTCTGATTTCCTCTGGCGTAGCCGATGCCGTCATTGGTGGGGAACTTCAAGCATAGGTGCTTCATGGAGATGATGGCCTCCAAGTCCTCCAGCGCTGGCCGGCCCAAGATCAGGTTGTGGGCGCACTGGAGGTTGACCACCATGAACTCCATGTCAATTTTGGCATGGTGGGGGCCGTCACCGACTTCCACGGGGAGGACTATCGTGCCCTCGGCGTCGATAGAGTCCCCGGTGAAGCCGGATAACGGGGTCTTGATCGGCTTCAGCAGAGCTCTGTCCAGCTTCAGCTGCTTGAAGGTGTCTAGGTACATCACGTTGACGGAGCTCCCCGTATCGATGTAAGTGCGGTGGATGATGGAGTCACCGATCTCACATCGGATGACGAGGGCGTCCCTGTGTGACCCCGTACCCGGAGGCAGATCCTTGTCGGTGAAGGTGATCGCCTCCGTTCGCTTCTTCTTCGGCTGGGGGGGAACGTGGGACACCTCTCCAATGTAAAGGGATTGGGCCCATTTCTTCCTCTGAGTGGCGGAGTCCCCCCCAGTGTTCCCGCCTACTATGAGGTGGATGTGATTCTTCTTCGGCGGAGGCTCCTCGAAGTCCTCGTCGTCGCTGAGCCTACCAATCTCGCGCTTCTTCGCAGAGGGTTCGCCCCCACGTTTGCCGGTGTTTACCCAAGTGTTTTTCCGTGGGCCACCTTTGACAAACTGGGAGAGTTCCCCCTGGCGAATAAGGCGCTCGATGGCCTTCTTCAATGTGATGCAATCGTCGGTGTTGTGCGACGAGTTCTTGTGGAACCGGCAGTATGTGCCGCCCTGCTGGATGGCAAGGATCTCCTCGGCCGGCCGAGGAGCCTGCTCGATGAGGCCGTGCTTCTCGGCATAGTCGAGGATGGTGCCAACCGGGTGGGTGAGGGTTACCCCCGGCCGTTCCAGCCTCGGCCGCCAGTGGCGGTCTTTCTTACTTTGTTCACCAGAGCCGTGGCGGCCCTGGGCACCCTGGCCGGCCGGGGACGGACCCGAGGCCGGCGAAGGATTTTTCTTGGGGGGATGGCCCCCCTCTCTCTTGTGATTGTGGAGCTCGTCGGCGTCGGCATACAAGCCTCCGCGCTGGAGCGCCTTGGCGTACGACCTCGGGGGGTCAGTGATGAGGCTCCTGGCGTACGAGGAGCTGCGGAGGGCTCCCTGGTACAAGGCGAGGAGGGTGCGCTCATCGGCCCCCTCGACCTCCTCGGCCTCCCTCGTCCACCGGTCGATGAATGACCGGAGGGACTCCTCGTGCTGCTGTTTGACGGAGAGGAGGTGGGTGAAATACTTCTTGGCGCGCTTCCTCCCGGCAAAGTGAGTGAGGAAACGCTGGGCGAGATCTTGCCATGAGTCAATGCTTCCCTCTGGCAGCCCGTTGAACCACTCGTACGCTGGCCCCTCGAGAGTAGAGAGGAACCAACGGCAGAGGTATTCGTCGGACGCGTTCACCATCAGCATGTTGTTTTGATAACGGCTGAAGTGCTCCTGGGGGTCTGATCGGCCATCGTAGGACTTGATGGCGTTCCCCCTGTACTTCTCAGGGATGGGGGCCGAGAGGACCCTGTTGGTGAAAGGGGTCCTAGTCCTGACCTGGATGATGGGGTCACCCCGCCCTTCGGCCAGCTCCCTCTCCAGGGCGCTGACTTTGTTCATGAGCGCGTTGAGGCCGGGGTCGTTGGAGGCGCCGGCCGCAGGGATGTTGGCCGACTGCTTGGCCTCCATCTGAGCCAACCTCCTTTCCAGCTGGGCGATGACCTCGTCCCGGGGGTCCCTGTCGGCTGCGGCGGCACCCGGCTGGTTCCTCAGGCGCTCGTTGTGAGCCGCGTTGATCTGGTGACGCACGTCATCCTCGTGCAACTTCCCCTTGCCCTTGTCCGGGCGGGGCTGGTCCGCTGTCCGGGACACAGACCCCAAGCTTTCCCTTGGCGAGCCAGGACGAGGATCACCAATCCGTCCCGCCATCCTCTCCGAAACCGGACGACGGCGCGTGTCACCTAGCCTATTGAAGGCGGAGGCTTTTCCACGCGCTGGGGTCTGCCCGGGCCGAAGAGGGGAAGCAGGGTGGGAGTGGGACGACGCCGTGTCCTGGGCCACAACCCCCTCATTGTTGCCTATCTGGTCGGCCAGTGGTTGGGGATGAGGAGGTGGAGTGACGTTTCCCCCGGTCCTTGGCAAGAGTGCGCTGAGGACGGTGGGATTCTGAGCCAAGCTGGCGATGATAGCCGATAGTGCGGCCTGGACCTGAGGATCTACGGACGGAGAGGCCGCGGCCATAGGCTGGGCCGGGGCGTGGTCCGCTTTCTCAGCTCGTTTCTTTTCCAGGCCGAGGCGGGCGTCAGGGACTCCGCCGTTGAGTTGGTTGCGGAGGTCCGTCGTGAGGTTGAAGGCCTCCTGGAAGAGGTCCCCTCCGCCGACCTGGTCGGCCGTGGCGTCCTCCTCGTGCTCCCTGGGCTCTTGGTCCTCAGGGATGACTTTGCTGACGAGGTTGCGGTTTGACTTAGTTCTCCCCATGATCAGTGGTTAGCTGTGCTTGGTAACGACAAAGGGTGCTAACTTGATTGTTCTAGCTCTCAACGAAAGCACCAAATGACAGAGTATATCTCCTAGATTCTAGAGAGAAGTGAGAGCTAGAGAGAGAAGTGCAATAATATGCTTCAATAGAATGAATTTGTAACCCCTATAACTACTTCCAAGGGGAGTATTTATAGAGAAAATTAGGGTTGGGCTCCCAAGCCTTGGGCTTGGGAGGCCCATTTACAACTGGACCGCTACTGGGCCGAATACAAAGCCTCTAATGGGCTGCACAAATGAGTAAGTATAGGATCCGATTCTGGGAGGTCTTCGTGGCCGACGAGGGCACGGCCGACGAGGGCACGGCCGACGAGGGCACCCGAGTCCCTCAGGCTCAGGACCGCAATCTGAGTTGGCACCTTTTTGGCCGACGGGGGCGTCATGGCCGACGAGGGCGCCACTCTGTTGTCTTGTGCTATGCTCTTCCGAGTATGTGGGTCCTGGGGCTCAGACCCATATACTCCATCAGGAGGTTTTTCCTAAAACATTATTAATAAAATAGGTTATCGACAAAAATGTAACTATAAAATACTATGTACTATCAACGGGATTGAAGTATAAGTTTTACAATCACTATGATGTAATGTTTAAAAACAATTAGTCACACTGTCACAGAAGTTCCAGGGTCACATTTTTGTCCACTATTTTTATTTTGGTTATATATTTCAAATTATTTCTTAATTTTAATAGTTTAAAGTTATATATTCAAAAACTATACTACATCTCTATAAAGTTACAAATTTAACTTAAAATTTAAATAAGAATTGATACTCTAATTTAAGTGAATAAAATGAATCCATTTGACTCAAAAAAGTGAATTTTGTAACTCAATTTGTGACGGTCGGGTAGAAAAGTTTAGAAATTCATACTATGACTTGTGAACTTAGTAATATATTTTGAGGGATTTTTCCGTGAATATTATTAATAAAAATGTTATGGATAAAATTTGAATTAATAACTCGTAGTGACTATAATTGTGTTCAAAGATTACAATAACTTAGATTTAGTTACTACGATGTAAGCTTTGAACACAATTACAATCAGTAATAGTTACTAAACAATATTTTTGTCAAGCACATTTTAAAGAGTAATGTTTCTGTAATTATTTCATATTTTGATTGATTACATTTGTCTAACTATCAAGATAAAGTTATCAAATATGAGTAAATTATGATTGAATTTCATTCTAACAAACTTTCCTTCATTATCCAACAACCAAGCAAATTGGTCATCAATTTCGCCCTATTTGCGCCAAAGTTAATATGATTTTAAACCATTTGGTATCATACAATCTGGTGACTTAGCTTGGTTTATTATTTACCACCGTAGCAAGTCACATTGGTTTTCACATTTTAGTTTGGTCTTGTAATTCAGGCCTCCATCCTTTTTTCTAAATATGTCCGTATATTAGAATTAACTAATTTAGTGGGATGATGGCCATTATCATGGCAATGTAAAATGTATGTACACCAACCATTGCAAGCCTTAAAACTAATTATCATCGGTGCTTTTGCTTTTAGCCCAAACCATGACAAGAGAGAAACCCATTAGTGCCATTACCACAACCTGCAAATAGTGAGGTAAGAAGTAGCGTTCAGCACAACATGGTAAAATAAAACACGGAAAAGGTACAAATATACTCTTATACGTATTATGGTTGTGTCAACATATATACCCTTGCTATTTTATTTTTTGGAACAAACATACCCCTAAAATTTATGTGAAAGTGTATACATACTACTGCACTTTTAAAAGGTGCAAAAAATGTCCATATCAAGGAGAAAATATATCCTTATTGAATTTAAACAAATAAAAAAACTAAAAAGCAACAAAAATAAATTATAAATTCAAAATTGAAAATTTAAAAATTAAAACAAAGATTTTTTTTATGTTAAAATATTCACTATTTAATTGTAAATTGAAAAATTATTATTTTTCAATTGTAAATGAACCAGTTCACATTCATAAATATTAACTTTAGTCTTGTTGCGAAATTTTGAAAACATTGTTACATTTTATGAAATAACATTCTTCGATTTTGTTTAACCTTAATAAAATTTAATTCACTATTTAGTAATCTTGGACTATCTATCATCATACAAAATATGTAATTTTATAATGCAAAGAATATAAAACATAATGAATTTTTTACACTGCAATATCAAAGATAAGATGCAGGAGTCTCGTTTGCGGTGGTTTGAGCATGTGCGTAGAAGACCGGATGATGCACCCGTTAGACGACTTGAGGGGTGGGGAGAGATGCAGAGAAGAGAGGGAGGAGAAAATCCAAACAGACTTGGAATAGATGAATTAGAACTGATATGCATCTTCTTGGATTGAATGAGAGTATGGCTTTGGAGAGAGCAAAGTGAAGGGCACACATACGTGTGGACGATTGATGTCTTTTCTACCTAAACTCTCTATTTTCTTTTATCGTTTATCTTCTTCATCTTTTTATATTCTTATGTTATTTTTATCTTCCAACTTTTTTATGCTTTTTTATCTTTTTATCTCTTATCTTTCTTGTGTTATTGTTATCTTATATTTATTTCTTTATTTTATTCGTTTTATATTACTTTTTTTCTTCTCTTTCTTGTCCGGCTGCTCTGTTTGGCATCGATATCATATATAAATTCATGTTAGCCGACACCAAATTCTTTTGGGATTAACACTTGGATGTTGTTTGTTGATGTATAATCAAATTATTATGTATATAATGTTATTAAATTTCTATTAATGTGAATTCTCAAAATATTAACTTTTTATAATTTTTACATATACGTAATTAAGTATAATCACAGACAAAGTTGTGTATTGGCAAACGTGAAAGTCAAACTGTTGCAACTATTAAAGAACAGAGGATAGCATACAGTAAAGTTTTAAAATAATATTTTATACTAACATTATTAAATTGTGATATAAATATAATAAAAGGAGAGTTGGACACAAGTAAATTCTTTATGGGAAAATCGCACTGTTTATGAGATTGTAAATGTCACCCCCGAATTGACAGATGTGTTGTAAATGTCATCCCTACTATTTATAATTCATTTCCAATTCTAGACTACTAATCAATTCACTGGGGTGACATTTACAGCACATTAGCCAATTTGGTGGTGACATTTACAATCTCAAAAACACTATTTTGACATTTCAATATGGTGACTAATTGAGGGGTTAAATTTGTAATTTATTTTTGGTGTTTTTTGAAATTTATTTTTTCTATTTAAAGTCAAAAAGGGTAAATTTGTTCCTTTATAGGAACATGAGGGGCATTTTTGCATCTTTTAAAAGTTCAGGGATATATATGCACTTCCGCATAAACTTCACGTGTATATTTGTTCAAAAAAATAGTACATGAATATATTTGTCCACACACTCATACTACAAGGATATATTTGTACATTTTCCCATTAAAGTAACAAAATTAGAATCGGTTAAATCTAATAAGATTCTGCTGAAGCAACTTAATTAACTTAATCTGCTGAATTATGAAAAAATTACACTTAAAATATACTCCATCCCATAAAGTAGTTCCCACATGGATTTGGATTAGAGTTTAAGAAAATGAAAATAAAGTGGAAATGTAAAGTTGTAATTGAGTAAGAAATAGATAAATGAATGGTAGCCAAACAAAACTCTCCAAAAAGGAAGATGAGAAGTAATTTTTGGGACGCCCCAAAATGAGAAGTGGAAACTATTTGAGGAAACGGGGGTAGTATTTCATTAATAAAATAAAGAAAAATTGGCTAAAATAGATGTGGTTAAAAACTGGTGGTTAACCTGGTTAAAAAATTGTTGCCCATTTAAAAATCTGATAATTCAGCAGAATTAAGTAGTTCTGATCTATGGTGCATCGATACTTCACCCACATGTTGTATTAGCGTATCCGATACGTATCTGATACTTATACTCACCGATACGCGTCCTGTACATATTGGGTCTGTACCTGTAATTTAATAAAAGTTCTGAACTTATTTTTAAAAATATAGAAACTTTTGATACCTGTATCCGTGAACTGATACACATATCTAATCCTATAACCCTGCTTTCATACACGACATGACTAAATTTAGTAGTCACCCAAGCAATTAAAAGATGTGGAACATTTGTAAAGATGATTTCGGGAGTATGGAAAATATTGGAATACTATAATCTGTCAATTTGTTGCTTGATAAGCATTAATTGAAATCAGTCTTGTTAAAATACTTAGATGTAAATGCAAATAGAGAACCAAAAATATTGTTTGAATTTAAATCGTAACATCAGTACTTTAGTTTTTTTAGTCTAATCTTTGAAATTTTATTATACTCCCTCCATCACTTATAACTTTGCCAACTATCCTTTTTTGGTCGTCCCTAAAACTTTGTCATTTTCCCTTTTAGTCAATCTAGGGCTGGGTCCGAAAAACCGAAAATCGAAAACCGAATCAAATTAAACCGAACCGCGACCAAATAAAACCGAACCGTTAAAAACCGAAACCGAATGTAAAAAACCGAACCGAACCGTAGTAGTTTGGTTCGGTTTTGGTTTTTACCCTTCAAAACCGAACCGAACCGAACAAACCGAACATAAATAAAATATGAAATTTTATTTGTTAAATGTAAGCATTAATCTTAATATCATCAATAATCTTTGAATTTCTTGTGCTAGAGAAATAATGTTTATGCTATGTTTAGTTTAGTTTATAAATGCATTTACACATTCGTTGCCCATAATAACGTAGTTATATTGATCTATTATGTCTTTTATGTATGTATGTTGCAATTTGTTGCATGATTATATGTTTTTACTAGTTATTAGTAGTAATTAACTTTTATTTTTATGTAACTTAATTCTTTTTTGTAACTTAACTTTTTTATATTGATAAAACAAATATATATTCATTTCAGCTAAATCACACAGGACATATGTATTCATAAACGTTTTTCAAACTAGTCACAAACATTGTAAATAAAGAATAGATACACACTTTTATCTCTCCCGCATACTCATATAATTCAAGACATATTTGTTTATTACTACCTCTGTCCCATAAAATTCTTCCCACTTTGACTTGGTACGGAGATTAAGAAAGTGGAATAAAGTGGAAATGTATGGTTGTGGTTGTGTAAGAAAAAGGTGAAATGAATGTGAACCACACAAATTGTCCAAAATGGTAAGTGGGAAGAATTTTTTGGGATGGCCAAAAAAGGAAAGTAGAAAGAATTTTATGGGACGGGGAGAGTATTATTTTCTTCATTTGTTCAAGTATGCTTGCATTTTTATGTAATATGTTTGATCCCTCCAACTTTTATATCAATTTTAAATTAAATGACAAATATTTAGTAAAAAACCGAAAAAATTGAAACCGAACCGAAACAAACCGAACCAATCAAACTGTGGTTTGAAGTTTTGGAGTGTAAAACCGAACCGAAACCAAACCGAACTTTTAATTTGGTTCCGTATTTGGTTTTAGGTCAAAACCGAACCGAAAGAACCGAACTCACCCATAAGTCAATCAATTTGTGTTTTCTGTTATATCTCTGTTCTCTGCATAAATCTTTACCACACAGTTTTTACTTTATTATTCGATGTACCGGTCAAACTTGGCAATCCTTTTAGGGACGGAGGGAGTAATTATTATTTTTTTGTACTGTTATTATTTTATTTATGAACCTCTTAATTATATACATTTGCAAATTATACCCTATATTATTCATATCTGTTCAACATAGGTTCTGATAACAAAAAAGTTGTTTGTACCCAGCCGTATACCCACTTTTATACCCACCATGTTTGTACATGTTTGTTCACAGACATGTTGGATATAAGGTGGGTATAAGGGTGGGTACAGAAGAATAATTGGTTCTGATAATTAGATTTTAACCGGCGTTCAGCCTAATTAAGATTTTTTAAATAGGCTAAAAACTGTCCCGTCCAGGTCTATTTTGGAGAGACAAATTGGTCCTGATCTGCAACAGTAATTATGAGGAAGTGGTTAGGTTATTTACCTGCCTCGTCCCGGTCTAGAACAAGGGGCACCCCTAGATGTGGTTAAAGTGGTTATACAAGAAAATATTCAACTTTGATACATGCAAATACTCGCGAAGCCAAATAGTTAGATATATAGTTTGGTTTGATGTACAAAACCACACGAAAAAAGAGTGATGAATAAAAAGGTAGAGTTTGGTAATAGTTTTTCGGTTCTCTATCAAAGTGAACTAAACCAAAAATGAACAACGGAAAATAAAGTAAGCAAAACAAAAAACGAATCAAACTATGCTTGGTTTTATATAGGCAATCATTTCTCCGGTCCATTTGAAACCAAAACAGCGGGATGAAGAAAACTTACCGAAATAGCGGGAGGGACACCAACGAGAGGATCTTGGAAAAACTTATTTGCAAGTGCAAGGGCCAAGAGGCTGCTCTGCATTCCTGTGCAAGCAGCGACACAGTTTGAAAGGAGACGACAATGAAATGAGTGATGAGATAGATCTTTAAAACTACGTATATACAATAGTATATAGCAACGAAACAAACATGTAAGCAAACCTGTTTCATAGGCGAGTGTTCTCTGCAGAGCTGCTTTAACATCTGGAGCATGGGGAAAGGCTGCAGCACCTCCAAGAGCGTATCCGCAAACAAAAGCTGACAAATGAAAGGCTACCACGAGCAACAAAACAGATAACCCAGAAGGGGAAACAACAGACTGTATGTTGATGGCAAGTGGAGCTCCAACACATAGAGAAGTCACAAAAACTGACAGTGGGGGCAAAAGCGGCCTAATCGCACTACAAGTCTTGGGAAACAATCTGCTCGGTGCAGATTGAGAGAGAAATACAAACCAAAACACGAATGAATGAATCATGTCAGGAAACGATGTGTACCATCATGGTTGATAGTACATTTGCTTACCTTTTGAGAAGCAAGCCGGCAGCAATAGGTGCGACCACGATCTGTGTAATATTGGAAATCATTCCTCTAACATCAACGGGCAGCCTTTTCCCAATCAGCAACAATGATAACAACGGTGTGACAAGGACTGCAGTTGCCGTAGACAATGAAGTCATCACAATACTAAGGGGGGCCATTGATGGATCCGTTAGATATGTGGCGTAATTGGACAGTTGTGCCCCACTCACACATGAAGTCAACATTATCCCTGCCCCTGCATCATCATATACTTCAATGAGGAAGCTCGGCAGGGGACTAAACCGGAATTTTTCAGGCCGCAGACATAGGTAACAGTCTTATATTCTATTATTGAGAGTCAACCAATCAATAAGACACGCAGACAGACTATATTTACCTAAGGAAGTTGGTAGACCAAGCGCGGTTATTGCAAGTGTACCAAATAGATACCCCAGGAGGGGCTTCATAACAAATTGACCAATATAACCTGCTAAAATGGCTGCAGGTCTATTCAGGGCTTCTACGAAATCCTTCTCATTTGAATTTACTCCAACTGCAAACATCAAAAACCCCAATGCCGGGGCGTAGTACCTGAAATGGTAGAGCCGCCAAAAGTCCACAGCAAAATCAGTAAATGCCAGCTTTTTCCCTACTTCACTTCTTTTTAAATTACTTACATTCTTTTGATGCAGTTTGGGATGATGAGGTGGTGTAAATAAGAAACAAACTCTTCTGACTTGTTTGGTTCACGGATTCCTGAAGGGGAGGGGTAATACTGTTTATACATAATAACTAGTACACTCTAATGGCTCAAAATAAATTCAAGATACAAAAAACTATATAGATATACTTGGCCTGACACCATATAGTTATTTATAGCCTAAAGCAAACTAATATAGATAAAAAAAAATAGTAATTTAAAGAAAAAAAATCAACCATCCCCTCGCTCCCTCCGAAATCCCTGACCTAAGAAACCCGAAGCAAAGTCTATTAGAAAAGGAATAACTCCAGTCCAATCTCACTAACAAATAAGAGCTGTAGTACGACCATTTATATATATCTTTGAAGTTAATGAGCATGACGTTCATATGTGACATTTTGTGAGTGGTGCATATCAGCATATGATAAGCATTAAGAAACAATGTTAGACAAACCTGCTCGTGAACCATGTGAAAGAAGGTGGATAGACAAGAGCCAAAATTGTACTACCAAGAACCACATGTGGCAGGTAGGAATTTGCATCCCTCAAAACTGTCACAAAAGAATTTCCCTTTGGCGTCGATATCTGAAAGGTCTCACCCCAAAAACAAATAATAACTGATATTAAACCTCATCAAAATTTGAAGTTTGAACACAACATAAAGAAACATAGACTACAAAGACCTTAATGGTTTTTTATTTATAAAATACAAGAGAACAAATACTACCATATATTTTTATTTATTTTCTCCTTTTTCTTAATCTTTAGGGAAAAATACTAGAAGCTTTTTGCAGTGGGGCTGACTTTTAGGATGTGTCGGCGCAAGAAATATACCTCGGGAGTCAAAATTTAGCTATGGACAATATTAAAAGAATCATTTTGAGACAATGCTTGAGTTGAATTATTTATACGTGACAGGGATACAAGTTAGTTCAAGTAATTATTTTGATTATATGTTTCAATCGGATAATGAGCCAATCATCATCATCATTACCCCAGTGCCGCAAAGGCTCCCACCTACAGTGGGGTAGGGAGGGTCGGATGTACGCAATCTTACCCCTGTACTAAAGCATGTTTGGATCATGGCTTAAGGAGAATAATAATAAGAATATTAGAATAATAATAAATAATTGTGATAGTGTATTAGAGGGTCCTAGGCCTGGTATTAGTTAGCTTTGGCTGGCCCATAAGGAAAAGATTATAAATAGGAGTGGGAGTAGAATAAAGAGGTAGGCAGAAATTGGGAACGGAACTGGGACTCTTGGGAGAGATGGGCACTCTCGAACTTGCCTCTATATTTCTTCTATTACGTTCTTCTGTTACTTTGTAATTCCTTGAATGAATATACTACTGTTTTGACTGTTTGGATCGACACCTATCATTGGTATCAGAGCATACGATTCTGGAGATCGTTTATCGTGATCAGAAAAATGACGCATCACCAGAAAATTTCTCGTTTGACTTGTGAATGGTTAGAACGAGAGGAAAAAAATGGAGAATCGCATGGAATCACTGGAGCGTAATTTTCAGGAGGTGAAATCAGCGTTGGATACGGTAATAGCGAACCTAGCGACGTTGAATGAAGAACGTCAGAGCAGAAGAAGGTCGCAAACACCTCAGCAACCGCATATGCGAACTTCGAACGGTCCTGTTGTTTCCAAAGGTAATTCCGTTCACTCGAATGTCCATAATCATCGACGTAGTGATGAACAAATTAGAATACAACAACAACAACAACATCCAAGCCTTAGTCCCAAAAGATATTGAGGTCGGCTAACATGAATCGATACATAATATCACAACCAAAAGGAAAAGAAGGAATAAAGATAAAAAGACAAGCTATTATGAAAAGATAATATAAAAAAAGATGAATATATATAAAAATGATAAAATAAAAAGGCTGCAAATAATGCTTATATATATATATAAGGACAAAAAAAACTAGGAAAAAAAAAGATGAGGGAAAAAGATTATCAAGATCACTCCTTCACTTGAATACCCGCCCTCCACTTAGTTCTCTCCAAAGTCATGCCCTCATCCAACCCCAGAAGAAGCATATCACTTCGAACTCCCCTAACCCACGTCTGTTTGGGTCTTCCTCTCCCTCTCTTCCCTGCCTCTTCTCCACACATCTCAACTCGCCTAACAGGTGCATCACTCGGTCTTCTACGCACATGACCAAACCACCGTAGGCGCGACTCCCGCATCTTGTCTTCAATAGGTGCTACTCCCACCCTTTGTCTGATTGTCTCATTCCTCACGCGGTCCTTCCTAGTATGCCCACACATCCAACGCAGCATGTGCATCTCTGGCACACTCATCTTTTGAATGTGACATGGTTTCACCGCCCAACACTCTACGCCATACAGTAATGCAGTCCTAATTGTTGTCCTATAAAATTTACCCTTCAGTCTAGTCGGCATACCTCGGTCACATAGAAATCCTGACGCACTCTTCCACTTCATCCACCCTGTTCTGATTCTATGGGATACATCTCCATCTAACTCACCGTCCTTCTGAATTATGGAGCCCAAGTAACGGAACAAATCGCTGACTGGTATCTCCTTACCATCCAGAGTAATTCCGCTATTACCACTACTTCTACCTCCACCAAACTTGCACTCCATGTACTCTGTCTTGCTCCGACTTAGTTTGAAACCCTTATTCTCCAATGTTTGTCGCCATACTTCCAACTTTGCTTTAAGACCTGATTGCGTCTCATCAATCAATACAATGTTGTCGGCAAACATCATGCACCACGGTATATCGTCTTGAATTGACTTCGTAAGTTCATCCATGACTATGTCAAATAAGAAAGGACTCAAGGATGATCCTTGGTGCACTCCGATAGTAATAGGGAACTCTTCAGTCCTCCCTACACTAGTACGAACACTTGTAGTACAATCCTCATACATATCCATGATGATGCTGATATACCTGCGTGATATGCCTTTCCTAGTTAAGGCCCACCAAAGAACTTCTCGAGGTACCCTATCATATGCCTTTTCTAAGTCAATGAACACCAAATGCAGATCCTTATGAGCATCTCTATACTTCTCCATAAGTTGCCGAAGAAGGTGAATGGCCTCAATTGTTGAGCGACCAGGCATAAAACCGAATTGATTCTCTGAAATCTTCACAGTCCTTCGAAGTCTTTGCTCAATCACTCGCTCCCAAAGTTTTATGGTGTGACTCATAAGCTTAATCCCTCGATAGTTGGCACATTCTTGTACATCACCTTTATTCTTAAATAAGGGGATAAGAGTACTCTTCCTCTAACTCGTTGGCATCTTATTGTTTCTCCAAATCATGTTGAAGAAACTTGTTAACCACTCGACGCCTCTCTCTCCCAAACTTCTCCAAGCCTCGATCGGTATGCCATCTGGCCCCATTGCTCTTTTCCGTCCCATCTTCCTCAGAGCTTCTTTAACTTCCATTGTTTGGATCCTTCTCACAAAATCACGGTTTACCATACAATCTGGTATGGACAAATCGCCGATATCTTGCGTTTTGTTCCCGTTGAATAGTGTATCAAAGTATGACCTCCACCTCTCTTTTATCTCTTCGTCGTCCATTAATATCCTCTGATCAACATCCTTCACACACTTAACTTTTGCAATATCTTGAGTTTTGCGATCACGAAGACGAGCAAGTCTATAAATATCTAGTTCTCCTTCCTTAGAGTCCAACTTTTCATACAACTCCTTGTTCACTTTCCCTCGTGCTTCCCTTACGGCTTTCTTTGCTTGTTTTTTAGCCTCCCTGTATGCTTCTATGTTCTCATCACTCCAATTTATCCCCAACTTTGTGTAGCAATCTCTTTTGTTCCTTATGGCTTGTTTCACCTCATCATTCCACCAAGATGAACAAATTAGAATACCTGTGCATTTTGGTAGAAAGGTAGATTTACCTTTGTTTAACGGTGAAGGAGCCTATAACTGGATTATACAAATGGAGAGGTATTTTCAGTTAAATGATATTGAAGAGGAAGAGAAGGTTGAAGCTTCTAAGGTTGCTATGGAAGATGGGGCTTTGAATTGGTTTCATTTGTGGGAGAATCGGACTGAAGAAACTAATTGGGACACTGAAGAAATCTATCATTCGTAGATGTCAACCTGAGTTGATTTCTTCATCCGCCAGCAGTTCACGACCAAGTAAGACTCTATCGAGAGAGGCTTCCCGTTCGCACATGTCATCCCAAACCGCTTCAGCGCCTTTGCGAACAGTTTTGCCTAATTCGCAGACTTCGTCTCGTGCGCAGGTCTATTCTCAGCCGAGCACTTCCTTCCAGTTATCTGGTTTCTTCGCGAACTTCATCTCATAGTTCACAATCACGAATTTATTCGCAGTCGCAATCGCGAACAGTGTCTACCAGTTCGCAGGACTCAGTTCGCAGAGCTCAGCGTGCGACTTATCTTAGTTCGCAGGTCTCATCGCAGGTCTCATCGCATATTCCCGCTTCTCACAGTGCTCAAGTTGAGTCAGCATCGATCCTTCAGCCGTACGATAGTCAGCGAAAACTTCCCTCCAAAGATGCGTTCATCCAGGGTGAAGAGGGAGGGGAGGAGAAATCTTATGTGGTGACTCAAGCCTCTAGTGCCTCTGAATATGAATCGGATGATGATTCAAATACTACTGTCACAATACAAGTAGACGAGCATCAAGCTACCTCAAATACGGATGCTATTAATGGAATTAATAGCGAAGAGAGAGGTGCAGTATTCCATAGAGTCATAGAAAACGGAATATCGTCACACATTATACCTGATGCCACCACAATGCACCGGTCAGTAAATGATATTGCCATATCTCAGAAAGAGGAATCATTAGGGAACATTGTGAGAACCATTTCTCTGGATTTTGGTGTCTGGACTGTCAATCATAGGCAACTGGAAGATCAGGTAAAAGTCACAGATACAACAAAGAGGAGGATTCAAGCACTGGCGTGGAATTCAGATCTTGCTGTGATGACTGTTGGGCCTGATGTTTTTGTCTCTCCAACTGGGCTCAATCCTTTAATGTAACAACCCTTGTCTTCCATATTAAAAGGTCATACATACCCACATTCTCTGCTATCTATGGCATTCATTACACATTTAGGGAGATGAACGATGATGATAGGACGTCCACCAGATAATCCGGAAAGGGCAGAAAATGATGAGGACGATGTCAGCTCACTTTCAAAGTGTGCTTTGCTTGAAGAGATAGTTGCTGAAGTTGCTGAAGAAACTGAGAAAGTAGCATAGAGGAACGTTATGAAGAAGTGTGCATTTTTGGTTTACTGGAAGAAATATGTAGATCACGAGGCACGGATGGGTTTGATGGATAAAGCTGTTGAGGTACACGAGCGAGCAAATCAAGGAGGTATAGATGATCTGAAGGATGCAGGGATCAGAGGTTTTCAACCAGACTTCGGTCAAAATGAATTTCAAGCATTTATAGTTGCAAATGTAGACGATTCTCGTTGTGTCCTATCTAGGAAGAATCAGGTACTTTAGTTATCAAGAGATCACAAGCCTGATTTTGAAGATAAATCTAAGGGAGAGGTGAAACACTTACAACTATCTGCCCTAAGCAAAGAGGAA